ATTCTTTGTATCTATTTATATAACTTATTTATCTTATAAATCTAATTGTTTCTTAATTATTATTCATTCGCTTGCTCTTTATTTATTTAGTCCAATTCTTTGTTTTATATACAAATCCACTTTATATTCAAAAATCCTATTATCCATATGTATATTATATTCTGTAAACCCTTACATTTCACACACTTGCTTATACTAAATACTTTACATTTCTAGGTTTTGCCTTTTGTTCCTCAAACCACAATCACAAAAAAAAAATTACAAAAAAAGTATACACATATAAGAAAATAGATATATATAAAAAAAAATAAGAAAATATGCAAAAAAAAATTTTTTTATTAATGTATATTGATTGGCAGGAAGATATACACCATTATAATGTCCATGCATGAACCAGCAAATTTCTACAAGGGGATATTATACACTGCGATATACAATAGTTCGATTTTAATTTCCTAGATAGTTCGTTTAAATAAAATTAAATAGTTATATAACAATTTATATAAACTGATGGACTAGTGTATATCTGATTTGAATTATATTGAGTTTGATCTGAATCTGATTTGAATCTGATAATTTTATAAATTTAAAATTTGATTTGATCTGAATTCGATCAGATTAAAAATTTTGAAATTTGATCCGATTCATATTCAATTCACAGATCAATCAGATTTGGATCAAAATTGTGAATACTATATATCACTAAAGCTCAATCTCTAACTAACTAACTCACTTATCAAAGTCTTATATTTATTTGGACTTTAAGTATAACTTCGGAAGTGATTTATCACTTCATTAATAATTTGGGTGGAAATCTTTTCAACTTTTAATATTATCATCCACATCATTATATAAACTTCTGTTTTTACAATATTTATATTTAGAATATATTATTTATTTTGATTAATATCAGAAGGTAAACAATTTATTGGATTGTCTGAAAGTATAAATATTTTTTTTGCTCTTATATTTTTTATCTCATTTAATTGTGAAAATAGTTGAATTTTTAATGATATTAATTTAATTGCTTGCTTTATAAGATCTGATTAATATTCTGTGAAATTGATAATAGAATTATATCTTAATTAATAAAGTAAAAAAATAATATTGTCTCCTAAACTTTTGATCTTTCCTATAGTATTTAGAGAAAAGTCTATTTAAATTTTTCAATAAGTTTTTCTTTTATTCAACTGAAGTGATAACTCTTTTATTTGAATTCTATAACTAGTCTATTTCAAGAGCTCTTAAGTAGATTATACTTTGTTATCACTTGATTCAAACCATAATCATATTATTTAAAAATTTGACCTTTTCTATCATCAAAGTGTATTTAAATTATTCTTTAGTTTTCAAATATTCCTGTTTTAATATTAATAAGTTAATCCAAGAACATAATATTGTGTTTCTTAAATAATGGAATAGCTTTCTTATATATGATATTTTCTTTTAGGATTAATTTTATAAATAAGAAGCCTTTTTTAGTTTAAAATATTTCTTTTTATCTTTAGTATTAGAAGTTATTTGAAATTTGTTAACTAGAGTCAATATAGATACTGTATAATTAAATTACCTTTTTTATTAAGTATAATATCTATTGAATATTTCAATATATTTTTGGGTTTCCAATATTTCATTTGATATTGTTAAGTCAAATAAATATTACCTTTTCTGAATTTTTTTTATTGTTAAGCTGACAATATAAGAAAGTAATATGAATTTCTAGCTGAATTTTTTATATACTTTTTAATCTAAGAATTTTCTTATTGTAAATATAATTATTTTTATAATATTATAAATAAGAGACTTGCTTTTAAATACTTTTCTATATATTACTGTAAGATCATTGCATATTTTTTTACTAATATATATATATTGCATATAATATTTTATATGAGAAATTAAAATTCTATTAATTATATAGTAGATATATTCTCTATTATTTGTTTTTTACTAATAGTCTAAGTTATTGATTTAGGTTTTATCTTAATTAAATCAATTGTTTTTCTGCTATTATATTTTTTTTAATCTATATTCCTGAAAATTGTGTTTGGCCTTTTTCATAGAATTATTTGATCTTTGTTTTATTCATATTTATATGTACTATTTCTGACTTTTCCTAATTTCAGTTTAATATAAATAGAATTGATTTTTTACTATTAATTTGTGAATCATTTACTATGTAAAATTTTCTAGCTTCTTCAAAAATATTTTCCATATCTTGTTTAGTTCTAGCTATTTATATAGTGTCATTAATATAGGCAATAACTGCTTGCTTTAATAAAAACTTTTCTTTATTCTTTGGTTTTTGAAAGTTGGGTATTCATTTTTTTTTATAATATATTCAAAGTCAGTATTATTTTGAATTTTATTTATTAATGGGCTATAGAAAATATATAAAAAAAGAGAAGATACTGTCTTTCCTTAATCAATATTATTCTTTATTGTATAGGCTTAAATAACTTATATGAAGAATTTTATGACATTTTATATTCTTGAATAAGTTGATTAAGAGTTGTTACATAATATTTGAAATTTAAATTTGTTTTATTGTTTTTTTAATATATCAAGACCAATTATATTATAGAACTTTATTATATCTTTAAAGAGGATTTATAGCTTCTTTTTCTTTTTTTTAACTTTTTAGTAAATACTATTTAGAAGATAAATAGGTTCAACAATATTTTCTTTTTATAAATTAGCAAAGTTGAATTTCTGTAAAATGTTATATTTTTTGTATATTGCTATTAAATACTTGATTATTATTTTAATAAATTATTTTCTTATTATTTTCAATAAAATAATAGATTTGTATTGTCTAATTCACAGTTTTAAGATTTTAGTTTTGATATTGAATAGACATTTTAGTTTTTTTATTTCTTGAAAATTTGTTCTTCTTTTATAATTTTATTGAAAAACTGAATAAGAAGATGTTTTTTCTTTTGATCTTAAGTTTTTAAGTATTTAATTATTAATGAGTAAGAAATCTGAAACCTTTTTATTTAGAAGGTCTCATAGTATTTCTTCTAGTTCTTCTAATGAAATCTTTTTAGTCAATAGCAGATATCATTTTTTATTCATACATGGTTTGAATTTATATATTTTTTTTATTTTGGATCTATATTTTCAAAGTTTATATTTATTTTTTTGAAATCTTTTAATAGTAAGACTTAATTATCTATTTGATAGGTTGAAAATTGATAATCATATAGTCAGTACTATTTTGTTTCTTAATTAAAACATAGTCTAGTATAATTTTAGGTTTTCTTTTATTAAGAATCAAACTAAGTATTTTTTTTAATTGTTTTTAAGATTATTATATTTAATTCCTAATGCCTTGTATATCTAATTTTTAATGTATAGTATTTTTTTTTTTTTACATTTATTTTCAAAGTTTACTTAATTTTAATTATTTTTTTTAATTATGATTTGATATCACTTTCTCTTGAAAAGTAAATAGTTTCCAACCATGTATTTTCTTATAAGTTTTTGTGAATTATTGATTGATCTAGAAAGTTCTTATTTGATTATAGGTTTCCAGTTAGTTTGAGAATTTTTGAATAGATAATAGACTTTGTTGGCTTCTTTATATACTTTATAGTCTTATAGTTTTGCCTTAAAATGGCTCTATCTATCTTTATTTTGTTTTAAGTATTGAAATTTATTTTCTTTTTCTTTCATATTTTATAAGTTCCTTTAATTATTATTATTATTATTTGTTGCCATGCTTTGTACAATACTTGAAATAGATTTTGATTTGATATAGCTACTATAAATAACTGTATAGAATTATTGAGATTGTGTTTATCTATTGTCTATACTTTTTCTACTATTTTATGATCAAGTTAGTGATATCTAAAATTTTTATAATCTTATCTCTTTATTGTTTTAGAGCTTTTTTTTGTATATATATTTAATAAGTTTAATAGATATTTTATAATATATTGTTAGAACAAAAAAAAACAATTATACAACTACCATTATTTTTTAATTCAATTATAAATATATATATATTATAAAAATAATTAAATCAATTATTATTTTTTAAAGTACCTGTCGAAAATATAACAGACCAGGAAGTGAATAATATGGGAGATCAATTTCGATTGTGAAACCAATGGCTACCAAAGAGTACAGCTATTGCAAAGGCTGGTGGTTAGCATTAGTGCCACGTTGGGGATCACAGGAGCAGAACCTGGAAGAAGAAATTTGGAAACAATCATCAAGATAATCAATCCAATGGGAGGAGCAATCCACTACGAAGTGATCAAGAAAAACCCTTGTAAGGCCAACTTGCAAGAGTGGTTAAAAATGAGGCAATGAAAGGCTATATGCTGCCTGATCATCGTAACACCATTGAATCGCCTGAATATCAAGAACATAATCAGAGACTTGTGCCATCTAAATTTCAACTAACATGTGGAAGACCCAAACATGGTAAGGATCATCCATGGTATCCACAATCATCAAGCGGTAAAACAAGAACACACTAAGGAACACAGTACACAAGCCCCTTGAAGATTAATAAGAAGTCCATAGCGGCCTTTCAGAACGCTATAGTCCTAGGCAGAGCAGGGCAACTAACAAAAATGGTATCACTATGTGGTAAAATTGGTGGACTAGGCTAGAATAGGTAGTTAAAATAAGGTCATATGAATTGTTCATGTAATCCAAAAATGTACTACTGATTCCTCAATAAAGATTCGTCCTGTCAGTTGGACTAGTTAAAAAAAAAAAAAAAAAAAAAAAAAAAAAAAAAAAAAAAAAAAAATTATTGTTTTTTAAAGATCCACAGTAGATTGTTGTAATTAATGAAATAATACATGTCAATAAATCTTGTCCTAATATCATTAATTCATATTCATATTTCATATTACGCTGCACAAAATATGATGCAAAGAAATAACCCGAACCGCCACATTCATGTGATCCATCAGTGGAAGGAAAATAATCTTAAAATAACATAAATTACTATATAAAAGATACATAAGGTAATGACCAAATCACATGAATGTAAGGCGATCCGAGTTTTTTAGATGTGGTTTTTGGGCATAGAATCTCGTGACGTGAAACGTTGTTTCGTATTCCACTAATTCCTTGCAGGCGTCGGTCAGCAACTTTTCATATTTGGAGGAACCCAAGCTGGTAAATTCCATAACCACATACTTTAAGGTGTTGAATGTGTAAAAGAAATCGTTAATTGCCTAAATAATGAAGCAAAATTAGAAAAATTGTGTGGTGGCAATAAACCCCAAATCATAAATACAGTAACTTACCAATTGAATATCTCGGTATTTTACAAATTTGTCTTCACGACGAAATTCGATGAGATTATTTTTCTGGAATAGATCCGGAAGAATTTCGTATGCTGGAATACCACTGGCTCCACGGTTGTGAAAAACTGAAGACACTTGAAAATTACAAAGTGGTAATATTTTGAGATTTGGACAAATTTTCGGTATAAGAGTATGGGGAGAAAATACCAACGTTTGTCCATTAAAAATTCAGAATTTGGACCTGCTTCATACAATTTCCTTTCATATTCAGTTATTTCTAACCAGCCACCAGGTTTTAAGAGTCTTAGTAGATTTGGGAATATTTGTTCCTTGCAACATTTTCCTGGGAAATAAGCCAATAGATCATTGACATAAATATAATCGAATAATTCGTCTTCAAATGGTAGATCCTCCAAGACATTCGCTTGCATGAAGGTGAGATTATCTGGTAAGTCATCAAGTGGATACAGCGGAACAATGTCAACGCCTGTGAAACGCGAAAGGGGATAATTGGTTGCCATCTCCATCAGCCACGCAGCTGGTCCACACCTTTTTGGTAGAAAGAACGTGAGAAAGATGGTAATTTCAATTATTCGCAACACTTACAGTAATCCTTGTGGTTTTAAACATTAATTTACCCTACGTCAAGTACATTCATGCCGCCCAAATTTAGCAGTGTTTTTACCGGAGAAGAGAAAAGAGACTTCCAAATGAACCATTGTACGTCATGTCGTTGATTTAATCTGTCGACCTCTAGATCGTCCGCTGCCAACAAATATGTATCATTGGAGTTCTTGAGAAATGCCCGTCCCCTAACATTAACAATGTTAAGACTGACAGTCGAATCCACACTGTCTTGACTAATCCTGCTGTTTTTTCTCTGACTAGTCTGGTTTTGTCCCCTAAATGTTTTTAGTTGGTAGGATTGGTTGGCTCCCATCTTATCAAATTAATGAATGTGACAAAAATACAAGTGATGGAGGGTAAGACAGTGCCTCGGTGATAAAAAAGAGTGTGTTAAATTTGCAGATATTGTATTCAAATATGCTGCTATAAATTAGAAGAAAAAAATAATTTTCTCCTTTTGAAAGCGAGTATGGAAATAAGCGTTTGTGTCCAAATTTATGTTCTTTCAAAACTTCAAGTTTATGTAATGTCTCAACATTTTGGGAATCGAGGATCTTTCTTCATGTGTTTGTTTATTGTTTTTTTTTAATATAATAATTGGAGAATTTGTTTTTAAATTGCCTTATACGTACCAAACTATTTTTTTTTTCTTTTGTCACAGAACAGTTTTTCCGATCTAACATGCCTCATGCATACAAGTAATTTTATTCGTTCGTTAAGAATTCTTTTGTTAGAATATTTAAACACGCAATTCCAAGTCTTCGAAATTAACCGTTTCTTTCCTTCCATCACGGTTTCCGAACTTTAAATTTAATTTTATGCGAATGTCAGGTTACCTTTGCTATCAAAAGACGATGATTATATGCTTAATATGCATGGCTCATATGGTCTGACAACAATTCAAACATTCCGAGATTCGAATAATTAAGATAGAAAATACGTATATTGCGAGGTGTCCGAATAGTTTGACGTGCCGTAAAGACCGATTGTTCGTTTATTAGAATATTCTCATTTCGTTGTGCAACATTCCTATTAAAATTTATTTGTTTATCAAGCGTCGACTGTATTATCATGTACAATGCATTCTAGCAAACCTTCCCAGAATTATTGTTCCAATAAAAGGTCACAACGATAATATTGAAAGGAGAGGAGCCGTCCGCGTTATTCCTCGTGGGACCTTCGGTTCATGTACTTGTGCAAGTACTTTGATGTCACAATTGAGTATTATCATATATGGGTAATTATTCTCGAAGGCGGACAGGGATTTTTCTGACTTTATAATTGTACTCCTGGAATTTATATTATATACTGTACAGTACGTATGTATTATTTAAAAAATAGGGACCGAAAAATCGTTTATAACATTTTTTGTCGTTTTCAAAAATAATTACCGGTATCCAATATGCACACCTGCATTACATAATAGGATTAGGGTTCTAACGTGTAACTTTTTGTTTATATGTGGTATTGAATATGGTAATAAGTTAAAAATCCATTTAGACTTTTTAGGAAGTTACGAGTTTACCATATGAACTTAGAACATTGGGTATGATATCGGTAGTTTTGCAAGGCGTTCGGCTGCATAATTTTAATAACAAAGAAATTACCAGTCTTTAATACAAATGATGGTCAAAAACATTTCCTGTTTATAAATTAATTATTGTCAGCAAAACAGAGTACGATGCGTATAGTTTTAGTGTTCATTAATTCCAATTGGTGGTAACAAAGTTTCTTTGTAAAACTTCCTGATATCGACAATTTATTAATGACCGTAAGTCACGAAAAAAAATGTTCGACCTTTATATTGTCAATTTATATATACCGTATATATTATTGTTTAAATACGTATATTTTGTGGTGCTTATACAGTATATTAATAAAGTCTTTGGACAAATTTTTGTGTCATAAGTTAATCTACGTAGCTTTCTATTTTATTATATATACATTTATATACAGTATATTGTTTAAAATAAATAGCTATATAAATTAACTTTAAGATACAAAAATTTGTTTAAAGACTTTATTAATGTACTGTAAATACAGAATAATATTTTAACGGATTCTTATTTATTTATTTATTTTTCTTCTTTTTTTCTTCTTAATCAGATCACTAAAAATATTACTAAAAATAAAATTTTCTTTGAAATATAATTTGATATCAATTAAATTAATTAAAAGTATGTATTAATCTTTTAATCTAAAATAAATACAAACTATCTTTATTATGCAAATCTATATAATATTTATAGTGCGAATCCAAAAATAATTGAATAAAAAATAAATTTAATAAGATACATCTAGCTTCTCAGTGTTAATTATATCATAACAAAACTTCTTGAAAAGAAATATCAAGTAAATAATAAAATAATATCATTTTTTTTCTTATTATTTATTTTTATAATGATTTATTTTTTTGTAAAATATCTTTATTCATGCAAGAAATACAATAACAATTTGTAATATATTTTTAAAATAAAAAAATATAAAACATAGCTACATTTGGTGACAAATTGGTATTTAATATTCTATAATTTATAATATTTTTAAAAAATTGAAAAATAAAAACAATAAAGTATATAGAGAATAACAATGAATCTCAAAAGATTATAGGAAAAGTATTATATACATTAAGTCAATATGTTTAATAAAATTTTATAATTTCAACAAAAGTCTTGACAATAAAGCTATAAAAATGAATATTCAAATAAGCCATAGAACTATTAAATATCATTTGTCTTTACTTAATTATAAAAAAAAATTTTTTTCTTTAATCATATCAATATTTGTAGAGGCTTAAAAAGAAAAATATATAGAATAGATCTACTAATATCTAAATAATAACTAAGATTATATTATTTTTATTAATAAATAACTTTTTACTTGTTTTAAAATACTCTGAAATAATAATATAAAAGTTTATAATCAATTTATATACTTTTTACAAATTAATAAAATGTTTTTACTTGAAATAATTTTTTATAAAAAAAAATTAATTTATATTGTTTTAAAAAATTATAAATATAAGACCTATGGGTCAATAGCACAGTGGTAGTATTCCCAGGTTGCAATCACAAGATCTGTAGTTCAATACCACTTAAGAACCAAAATCAAAAATTATTTTTCTGATCAGATTTGACCAGTTATCCTGTAAAAGTCATACTTAATCAACCGGAACAAGTTCTAATCTGGTTAGGCTGCATGAAGATATGACTTCTGACCTTTCGTTGATCAGGGGCTAAGATCTATGGTCGTACTACTAGAAGAATTGCATAAAGAAAGGCTTCTGGTCTAGCCTTCCACAAATGTCCCAAAACCCCACTTTGACCTGGCAACCTCCAGGACTCCACTCTCCTAGCTCAGGATATCCCAATTTGGTACTCTGCTTAATTGAAAATCAGTCAATAAGGACTGATCTGATACCACAAGTGGTGACAAAGAAGGAAAGTGCCCCTTCCGAAGTCTGAGCAAATAATATATCTAGGAATATTGGAGAGTGTTACATATCTTATCGGGTATATACTAATAGCCTAATTTAATGAATATAATACAAAAATTTATAAAAGCTTACTACTAAATTAGTCTAACTCACCGTTGATGATTGTATATTTGACCATCCGGCCCCTAGCTAGGTCTGTCCACTCACAGAATGGTTGCAGGTCTATCTAGGACAAACCGTGATAGGTTATCATTAAGGTGCATAGATATAGAAATATATGGCTTGTAGAAGATAATTGATGTAACTGCTGTAGGATTTAATTATTCGTCAAATTAAGTTAATTCTTTAAATAAAGCTTGCATCTAATATCAGTTGCGGTTAAAATTAAAAAAAAAAAAATTATAATTATAAATTTTATATATCTCTCTTTATAAAATCTTTTTTTAATATACTAGAAATTTGATAATAATTGTAATAAATAATAATTTAAAATATACTTATCCAATTATTTAAATATTTATAATAAAAATATTTTCAAAATTATTGATTATTTTATTAATTCACCTAACTTAAATCTTATTAAAAACTTGTAAGTAATTATTAAAAATAATGTAAAAAAATAAATATTATAAAATTATAATTAGTCAATACTATTTATAAAAAAATAATATAAAAATTTTCAATTTATTTTAATTAAATTAATAAAATCAATAAAAAAATATGAGATAATTATTAAACAAAATGGAAAAAATTTTTAAATTATTTTTATATAATGAATTTATATATTGTATATTAACTTTCTAATAATATATTTTATTTAATTTAATAAAGTTTATAAAATATTATAAAATTTTTTTTTAATATTTAATTATAATTGATATTAAATACAAACCTTTTATTGATAATTGAAATTTAAATATAATATTAAATATTTCATGTATTATATATAGATTAAAATAATCTATTATAGCTTATTATAAGCAAACTTATTTTTCTCTCAAGTGAGTTAATTAAAGCTGATAATTAATATATAATCATCAATAATATTATTAATATAATTAATCAGAACTATATACAGTATGGAGCATTGAAAATTGAAAAAATATTAATAGTATTTAATTAATTATATATAAATTTAATTAAATTTATAAATTTTTTTAAATAAATATTTATAAAAAAAAAATTTGGGGGATTCAAATCTTAATCTAAAAAAGTAAATTTAAATATACTTAAAATAGTTTTTATATATAACTTTATTAAAATTTAATTAAATATTATAAAAAGTTGATATATTATTTTTAAAACAAAAGAATAAAAAATATATAATTATTAAAGAAATTAATTATAAATAATTTTATTAATTTTATATTCAAAAATAATTTTTCATAATTTCATATATAATTTTTTATATTAAATTTTTTTTTTTTTAATATCTGTTGGTCAGGCCAGTACTATATGTTTATTCATCATTAAAAAAACTATTAGAGATATATAGAGCAATTGCATTATGACTAAAATAAAAAACTCATACTGACACACTCATCAATGACTTACAATTCTTGAAAAAGCTTTAGCCTCTAAGTGCAATCTTGGGGACAATATTTCATTCTGAACTAAATTTTGGGTGAAGACCCTCCTAACTTATCCATCATTGCCAGCAGGTTGTCACTACTTATTATCCTCCAAGAAACTGAATTTGAGAAACTACAAAAGGAAAAGAAAAAATAAAAGGAAAGGATATATCTAAAAATATGTAAGCACACTACATGAAAATAAAAAGAAAAAAGAAAATTAAAATGCTCTATGTCTTACAAAGGACCTCTGCTAGAAATCTCTTCTCATTAGAAGTCAATCCTTCTAAGATATTCTTCTTCTTT